GACCAGAGAGAGAGAAAGAGAAAGTGAGAAAGTAAGCCACTAGGTCCAAGACTCTAACCACTGTTGGCCATGTGGGTCCAGCACACTAACCACCACACTTAACTGCCAGGCCCCCAAAGCTATTCCTTATTAAATATTTTCCTTGTAAATCAACTCACTTTAGGTCCGGGAGCTGGCATGGTAGTTGGGGTGCTGGACTCCCACATGGTCAACTGCGGTTCGAGTCCCAGACTTGGTGGCTTGCTTTCTTACTTTCCCTTTCTCTCTCAGTCTCTCTCTGGTAAAATTAAGGAATAAAAAATAATAACGAATAAAATTAAATAAACAAATAATATATATATTTTTAAATCAATTCGCTTTTAAGAAATTAAAAGAGACTGAGAGGTAGAACAACTTGGAACTCTTACACACTGTTGGCAAGAATGTAAAATGTTATGCTACTTTGAAAAACAGTTTGGCAGTTTCTTATAAATTTAATGTATATGCTACATTTACCTTTGACCTAGCAATCATACTCTGAGAGAAAAGAAAACTTAAAGTTCCCATAAAAATCTGTACATACTTATAGTGGCTTTATACATAATCACCAACAACTGGAAACAACACAAATGTCCTTCAATCAGGGCGTGGCAAACTGTGGCGCATCATTTCAATACAATGCTACTCAGCAACAAAAAGGAGAAAACTACTCAATCACATTACCCTGAATGAAAAGAGCCAGACTCTAAAGGAAAAATACCATACAACTCCATTTATACAACATTCTGGAAAAAGAAAAACTACTGATATATGGACAAAAACTAGATCGGGGTTTGTCAGGGACCAAGTAGGGGGGGAGACTAATTACAAAGGAAGAACAGAACTTCCTGGGATGATGAAAATGCTCCGTATCTTTTTTTTTTTTTGGAGAGATTTTTGCTATAGGGCGCGTGCGCTCGCCAGACAGACAGAGAGAGACAGAGAGACAGAAAGCGAGAAATCACCCTCCAGGGGGGATGGTCACGCCGCAATCCCTTCTCCTCTATTCTCCTCTCGGGATCTTGGGCACACACGCACACGCGCCCGGCGTGAGTTTTAAGCCATCTGGTCCGGGACGCGAACCGCGGCTGACTACGTGGGAGTCCAGCGACATAGCCATTACGCTAACTGCTGGTTCCCATAAATGCTCCGTATCTTGATTACAATGATATTCACCACGTACATGTGTCAAACCTCATGGAATTATTCACTGTAAGAGTGAATTTTACTGACTGTAAATTACCTCAACAGGTCTGACTATATCACACTGTAGAGACATAGTTTAAGTGTATAAATAGAAAGTGCCAGGGGGGATGGTCCCGCCGCAATCCCTTCTCCTCCATTCTCCTCTCGGGATCTTGGGCACACACGCACACGCGCCCGGCGTGAGTTTTAAGCCATCTGGTCCGGGACGCGAACCGCGGCTGACTACGTGGGAGTCCAGCGACATAGCCATTACGCTAACTGCTGGTTCCCATAAATGCTCCGTATCTTGATTACAATGATATTCACCACGTACATGTGTCAAACCTCATGGAATTATTCACTGTAAGAGTGAATTTTACTGACTGTAAATTACCTCAACAGGTCTGACTATATCACACTGTAGAGACATAGTTTAAGTGTATAAATAGAAAGTGAATTAAAAATAAATACAATGGGGACCAGCGGTTAGCGTAATGGCTATGTTGCTGGACTCCCACGTAGTCAACCGTGG